TCATCACATTGTATACCTTACACCAGTGATGGCGAACCTTTTGAGCTCAGCGTGTCAGCATTTTGAAAAACCCTAACTTAACTCTGGTGCCGCGTCACATATAGAAATTTTTTGATATTTGCAACCATAGTAAAACAAAGATGTATATTTTTGATATTTATTTTGTATATTTAAATGCCATTTAACAAAGAAAAATCAACCAAAAAAATGAGTTCGCGTGTCACCTGACACGCATGTCATAGGTTCGCCATCACTGCCTTACACTTAAACAATGTTACATGTCAATTATATCTCAATAAAGCTGGAAAAAAAAGAACAGAAAAAAATTGTAAGAGACTAGATCAGCACACCAAAGTATTAACAATTATACATGCAAAAATAAAATTATAATGCTCCACAACTGTTCTCACTAAAGAAGCAGGAAATTTATATGCCCAAAACATCTTACTAAATCTCACTAAAGCAAGTACATATTGATAATTAAATGACTTAAGCTTCAGGCTAAATGTTGTTCTTTAGCTGATATTTATTTCACAGCTAACACAAACCACTGAGAAGATGAAATCTGGCATATGACTCTCACATACAAGCCCATTAACAAGCCTATATCAAGGCTCAATCAAACTGAGCAAATACTTCTAGAAATTTCCCTTGTGTGTTTTATTCAGTTAGTAGGAGAATTCAAAGCTCAACTCTGCCACATATATCCAGCCCAGATGCTCAAAGCACTTGATTTTACCCCAGGGCAAAATTCCATATTCAAGACTAGATCTAGAACAGATGGCCACTCCACCTCTATAATCTTGCTGTTCCCTATGAATAAATGAAAGGAATAAGGGGAACAGAGACTCCACAACAGGGCCAGAATAAACATTATTACCATTAATACTACTAATAACATTTATTAAGTACTTTTGTGTACATGATACCCTACTAGTTCTGCACAGAATGGGTCCTGGTGATCACAGTGTTCCATGTAGAAGCTATGTACATTCTTTATGCTCATAAAGAATGCAACTCTGGCCTTCACAGAGTTTTCCATCTGAGCAGGGATTTAGTGTCTAGTACCATTCTAGCAGATATAAAATCAATTCCTCAAGAATTTAGTGAGCCCTACTTTGGGTCAGTTCTTTGGGGATAAGGAATGATAACACCCCTCTTCTCACATTGGCTACAATCTACTTGACACAAAAAGAAAAATACAAGAGTTCATAGTTACATGTTAATTTATGTGGTACATACAATAAATATTCAGGAGATAAATGAGAGTCCTACTACTACTACCACTACTACTAGCTGACACTTAGATAGCACTTCTGGTATAATGGGCAATGCTTTATCTGTGTTAACTTATTTAAACGCTCATCTCAGGTATATTCCATTATTACACTCATTCCATAAATGGGGAGATTGAGGTGCAGAGGATTAAGTCACTTGCCTGCAATAACTGGCAGAGTAGGGCTCTTACCTCTTAACCACAAAGTTAAAGAAAGGACTCATGAAAGAGGGAGGCACTGAACTAAACATGCAGGATTTAGCAAAGAACAAAGAGGAAAAGGTATGTCAAGAGAAAAGCAGAACTTGAGCAAAGGCAGTAATGAGCACAATATGAATGGAAGATGGAGAGCAGTGGGAAGGAAGATTCAATTCTGAGCAAGATAGAGTCAAATTATGAAAAGTCTTAAATTTAAAAAAAGGTTTAAGCTTAGATGTAACGCAGTAGGATTTAGAAAGCCACTGATGGTATGCTGCCTCAGATGACAACTCCTGAGCATGTCTATGGTCCTAGGGGGCATAAGTGCAAGGAAGAGAAGAATGATGTCATCTCATTTCTCTGAACCAATGATCCAGTCTTTGCCAATGTTTCTGGTTTCAGCATTAATTTGCTGGTGGCTCTTTATGATAAAAACTAGAGGCCTGGTGCACAAAATTCGTATACTTGGGGGGGGGCCCTCAACCCGGCCTGCGCCCTCTTGCAGTCTGGGAGCCCTTAGGGGGATGTCCCACTGACGGCTTAGGTGGGAAGCAGGCTTAATCTGTCAGTGGGACATCCTTAGCGCTGCTGCAGCCGCGCCAGCTGTGAGCCCGGTTCTGGCTGAGCGGTGCTCCCCCTGTGGGAGCACACTGACCACCAAGGGACAACTCCTGCATTGAGCGTCTGCTCTCTGGTGGTCAGTGCACATCATAGCAACCGGTCATTCCGCTGTCAGGCCGAAACCAGCTCTCTGACATCCCCCGAGGGGTCACGGATTGTGAGAGGGTGCAGACCAGGCCAAGGGACCCCCCCCCCCCGGTGGACAATCAGGGCCAGAAGGGACGTGGGAGGTTGGCCAGCTGGGAGGGACCAACATTGCTGGAGGGTTCCAGGGTGTGTCCAGCCCATCTTGCTCAGTTCAGATTGGCTGGACCCCAGCAGCAAGCTAACCTACTGGTCAGAGTGTCTGCACCCTAGTGGTCAGTGCATGTCATAGCGAGCAGTTGAGCAGCCTTAGCATATCATTAGCATATTATGCTTTGATTGGTTGAACGGCCGACCAGATGACCAGACACTTAGCATATTAGGCTTTTATTATATAGGAGGATACTTACTCAAAAAGCCATGAAACTACAGCAATCTTGAATTTACCTACTAAGACATCTATACACTCTATATTATTTGTTGCTGAAAAATATAAAGGACCAATAATGTTACTCTTGAGCAACTAGAGATTAGATATGCATTTTATCATTAAATATCATTCATATCCTTGGACATAAATACAAAATTTGATTTTAGAAAATAATTTTTGCTAAACTATTTTATGTGAAGAGGTACACCCATTACATTATCATGAAGGTCAAAAAACCTCTAGTCATAAAATTCATTTTTCTATTTAAGAAATTTCTGGTTATCAATTCTTCTTTTTAAAAAGGACCAATTAAAAGAATATTTCAGAAAAAAATGATTAACATTTTGAATAAATCTTATAATTATGTACTTCATATTTTGTATCTTGGCTAAAAATACAACAAACAAGACCCTCAGATGAATATAAAACAAGAAAACAAAGGTTTCTGAAGCTAAAAGTCATAATGAATATAGTTTTACATCATGAATTACTGACAATATTCAATGAGAGTACTTGTCATAAGTTAAATAGCGAGAGTATTCAACAGCATTTGGAAGAAATGATACTTTAAATCTGGAAAAGGGAAATTACGTTTACTAAATTAATACTCTGCAATCATTTAGGTTCCTCTGAGTCAAGCATTATTGGTTTGACTTTACAGCAGTTGAAACTTTCATTATAGAAATAAAAGAGATAATTCATTCATTTTGTAGTTATTTTTAAAATGAGAAAACTCCCACAGTATCTATTCCAAAGAAACAAAAGGATTTTTTCTAAATGGAGCACTATTAATACTCACATAAAATGTTTAAACTCCTATTTTTAGAGGAATGAAGAATATAGCATTATATATAAAATCCAGTTATTTGCAATCTTATATTCAATCTATGAGTCCAGGAATATTATTTCCTATAAATACAATCAATACCTAAGCAGATAAGGGAACTATTATAAATACTGTACTATATGTTGACCAGAGGACCTTTTCAACTAGGAGCATAAGATATGCCAAACTACTGACCTATCTGGAGAGAGAAACCAAAAAAGGAGAAAAGTAAAATACCAATATATATAAAATAATATACTTTAGTATATGTTACAAATGCAACAAGTATAATTATGCACATACAGTAATGGCAGGGTTATCTGGGAAAGAGACAGCGGTGATGTCATTTTATTCTATCAGAGGACACGGTTTAACTTCATTTTATAAAGATTACAAAAATTAAATATTTTATATATTTAAGTAAATTCCTACTGATATGATATGCTAGTTTTTAATACTCAAGCCATTTGAAGAAAAAAGTGGTATGAGAAACTTAATCTTATCCAAGATTGCTCAAAAAAAAGAAAAGAACATTGTAATTTCAGATGAAAAGAGTCACTCTCCCACTATAGTCAAACTTCTTTTTAAATGCCAAAAGGACAATTATTACATTTTCACATTCCTAATGGAAATTTAATTTCATTAGCTAGTGATTATTATTGCATGCGATTCTGAAAGGTGCTATGTTACACTTTGTGGAAGCAGAGATTAGTAAAATATGTCCTTCACTTTAAGAAACTCTGAATCTATCTAGTGGCAATAGATCCGTTTGCTAAATATAATTTAAGTCAGAATAAATGGTACTAAACAGGGGTGTAAACAACTCACAGTGAGATTAAAAGGGGCACAGCAATCACAGATTCCTGGCTCTCAGTACCTTGTTTCTCTGAACGCAGAGCTGCTCCTGCTCGGTTTTTCCAGAGGGGTGAAGGGAGGAAGACTGCCTGACTATATGGGCTATAAGCACAGACCAGAGGTCTGAAAGCTCCTTATAAACACTTTCAAACAAACCACCTGTTTAGCTCTGTATCTGCCCTTCCCCCATTGCCCTCTGCTCTGGTGGTTGCCTATGGAGTCAATTCCTGAGCGTTTCTGGGTTCTTCAGCTGTCAGAGAGCTTCTGGACTGGCATCCTTTGCAGGCACTTGGGCTTGTCCTCCTTTTGTTCTGCTAAGTCATTTGCCAATCCTCAATGGATTCCATGTGGATTGGGGTTCAGGTGTCTTTTTGCTTGGGTGATTTTTCAAAAAGGCAGTACAATGGAAATTACTTAATTCTTTCATCTTACTACCTGCCTTGATTATGAGATTACTGCAATTTCACAGCTAAACTGACGTTAAGAAAAGAGTACTGATAATAGAAGAGAAAATTTTAAACTCAAGCTATAAAAATAAATATTTTATAGAGAAATTTTTCAACAATGTGGCAAGTAAGGTAGGAGAAGATGCTCTGTGGTTTAGGAAAGCAGAAAGAAACTTCAAAGTATTGCCCAAATCATCTGAAGCAGGCCACTGCCCACTCTGTCAGAAGAAAAGAACAAGTTAGTAATGCACAAGTAATCCAAACCTTCACAAATAAGGTGAACTCTTCCACTTTCTCACTGGCTATCCGCAGTTTCTTCTGTGCACCTTCTAGGGCTTGCTCACTTTGCAATGCTAATCCTTGAAGCTGCTTAGAAGCTGCTGTTTCAATTTCTGCCATTGCAGATTCAGTCTCATTTATTTTTGATACTAGGAGAGAAAGCTTGAGATCCTGCAAAATACAGTAGTCATGGAACAAAGATATTTCATAAGCAGATTTGGAAGAGGTAGTTACCCATGTCAGATAAAGGATTTCATGACTCTCTATATGTGTATTTATTTTATTTGGGTAAAACTGATGGTTGTATTTATTTATTTTCAACAAAATAGCCTGAGCACACATTCTTTTTTATTGTTAATCCTCACCTGAGGTTATTTTTCCATTGATTTTTAGGGAGAGTGGAAGAAAGAGAAAAAGACAGAGAGAAACATTGATGTGAGAGAAATACATCGACTGGTTGCCTCCTGCATGCGCCCCAACCAGGGCCCGGGCTGGGGAGGAGCCTGCAACCAAGGTAGGCACCCTTGACCATAATTGAACCCAGGACCCTTTGGTCCACAGGCCAATGATCTATCCACTGAGCCAAACCAGCTAGGATGTGAGTACATATCCTTATATATTCATCATAAAAATTAACTTATGCTTTCTAAAAATAATAAATCTCATATAGCAAATGGAAATATTAAATGAGTTTGTAAGTTTAGGTGGACTTAATTTATATCTACTTGTGCCAGTTATTAATAATAGTTTTCATTTATGAGAAACTAGGAGCCCAGCGAGCGATTCAAAATCGCAGGGCGCCACCCACCCTCCAGTCTGGCCCTGCCTCCCTCCCCAGGCCCCTGCAGCTCCGCCCCCGACACTGAACGCGCGCAACCTCCTCCTGTCCGTTGACCCGTTACAGCATCGTGGTTAATTAGCATATTTCTCTAGTTTTTTATATATATATGTAGATTATCAAGACACAAAATCTGTTTCTCTAATGTAGCAGTACCTTTAATGAAAACAGATTCTCAGTGTTTCACGTAGAGATAAAGTATTCTTTGCATTTATCTGAAACATTTAAGTAGCTCATAATAGTTTGGGGGAGAAAAAAAATGACAATTTAAAAAATAAAAAAGACATTGTTATATTCCATTTCTAAGCTAAAGTGTCCTAAAAGCATACCTTTTTTTCTAATTCCTCTTTAGTTTTCTGATACAGCTCTTCATACTGTGACTTCTCTTTAACGGCGACACTAAGTCTTTGCTTTAGTGAATCAATTGATACCTTCTTGTTGGAACACTCTTCAGTCAATGTCTTTACCTAGAAGTAAAAGCATAAAGGTAATCATTATTGGTAAAGGCATTCTAATAGTATACTTTTTGTTTCAACAGAAACCAAATGAACACATGAGTAAGTCTAATTTCATCTGGTTTCTCATAAATAATATCAATTTCAAGTATAAGATTTGTAGAACTAATATTATAAATGAGATTAATAGTCCTTAAATCAATAGCAAAACTAAATATTGCACCAAAGATAAATGCTGGCATGTGTAGTCTTTCACCTAAAAATACAGTACTAATTTAAACTACATTTCCTTTAATTACTAACGTAAACCTCCTTAAGCAGGAATGGTTGTTTTTGATTCTTAAATAAGCTAAGTTATGGATAATTAATTATTGTATTCTCCAATATTACATGTACTTTTAAGAATAAAAGTAAAGTGATGCAAGATATTTATTATACATATGAAATAGAGGAAATAATTTTTCTTTTTCCATTGAATGCCACTAAAGATATATCATTATCATATTTAAAATAATTATTAAAGTTAAAAAATAAGAAGATTTAAAGGATAACATTTAAAGGATAACATTGAAAAACTATAAGGAAGTAATTATAATTTATGTGGTGTGTGGAGGAAAAAGAAAGAAATCTATATTCACTTGTCTTGTTGGTATAAAATTTTCTCCCTTAAATCCATTCGAGCTAATAGATACTTATATTTTTATCTCCAAGTAAAATAAGGGAGACACTTTCTCTGGAGTTGCTAACACTGAGTGATTGCCAAAGCAGAAGCTAATTCATGAGTTATGCAAATAGCACCTTTAATATATATATACATATACTAGTATATACCTCTTAGTCAGAAAATTGCTGATTTCTACTTTGGGGTTAAATATTATACAACTATTTGAAATACAACTCTCTTTCTAAGTACACTTAAAGTGTATACAAAGAAAAGTATACTTTAAAAAATAATCCTCACCCGAGGACATGCTTAGAGAGAGGAGGTAAGTATATATGTGTATATACACTGAGTAGCCAGATTATTATGATCACCCCACCAGTACTTTGTTGGGCCACCTTTTGCCTTCAATACTGCGGCGATTCTTCTTGGCATTGACTCCACGAGATGCTGAAAGGTGATGCGAGGAATCTGACACCATGCCTGATGAATAGCACTGTCGAGTTCTATGAGATTTGATGGTTGTGAAACCAGCTGCCTGATGGCTCTTTTAACTTCGTCCCACAAATGCTCAATTGGATTGAGATCTGGTGATTGTGGGGCCACCTAAGCAAGGTAAAGTCTCCCTCATGTTCTTGAAACCACTCCTGCACAATACGAGCACCGTGGCATGGCGCATTGTCTTGTTGGAAGAAGCCATCTCCATTCGGATACACCATCAACATGATAGGATGAACTTGATCAGCAATGATACTTAGGTATGTTGTGCTATTCAGACGTTGTTCCACACGAATTAAAGGGCCCAAATCATGCCAGGAAAACATGCCCCAAACCATAACACTGCCCCCAGCAGCTTGAAGGGTTGTACTCATGCATGTGGAGTGCATGCTTTCATGCTGTTTCCGCCAAATTCTCACTCTGCCATCTGCATGATGCAACTGGAAACGTGATTCATCGGACCACATGACTTTTTTCCAATGCTTGACTGTCCAATCCTTGTGTTCCTGTGCGAATTGGAGACGTTTTATCTTGGTAACTACAGACAGCAAAGGTGTTCGTTCGAACAGGCCTTCGGCTTCTATATCCCATACGATGCAGTGTATGGCTAATTTGCCTACAAACGTCAGGTGGTCATAATAATTTGACCACTCAGTGTGTGTGTGTGTGTGTATTTAAAATATATATTTTTATTGATTTCACAGAGGAAGGGTGAGGGAGAGAGAGAAAGAAACATCAATGAGAGAGAATCACTGACCAGCTGCCTCCTGCACACCCCACACTGGGGATCAAGCCTGCAACCTGGGCATGTGCCCTGACTGGGAATCGAACCATTATCTCCTGGTTCACAGGTCAAAGCTCAACCACTGAGCCAGGCCAGCCGGGCAGAAAAGTATATTTTTAAAAATTGTGGTAATATACTTTAAAAAACTTTGATAGTTTTTGGTTACCACTTTTTTCATTTAAAAATATATGCTTGGTTTTATCATTAAAAATTATAGTTTAAATAAAACAAAATGCTGAAAAAAATGTAATTATGTATCCTAGAAATATTCAAACCTTTATAAATTAAACTTGATTATGTTCTCATATAAAAATATCGTGCTATATTACATATGAGGTTTTAGAGTCATGAATTTTAAAACAAATAGTGTACTTACAGAGCAAATAATGAAATTATGTAATAGTGCCCATATATTCTATGGATATTTCCTATAAATTTTATTAAGAGTGAATATTTGAGTTAAGCAGATAAATAAAATGGGTAATGATTTTTTTAGTTTCACGGAACATACAGAAGTTCATACCTTTTTTTCAAGATTTTCTAACATTTCATTAATGCTCTCATTACTTTCCAAATTTACTTTCTGTCGAAATTTCAAGTCCTCTATCAAATGTCTTTTCATGGTTATATCCCTTTCCATTCGAGACAACCTTAAAAGGAAAAAAAAGGGCATTTTATCAAAAGTGATAAAAAATACTTTAACAGTGATAATACCTTATCCAATGTTATACCTACTATTGTTAAATACTGTTTGATATCAATGAAATTGCAAATTAATAAAATAATTGCAAGTAATAAATATTGCTCTATTAATGAGCAATATTTGTAAAATCTATAATCCAGTTGTCACTTGTTAAAGATAATATTGCACATACATTAAAAAAGTGACTGAGAAAGATAAATAAAATTTATGAAAAGTCAAAATTGTTATATTTAAATTACACTGTGTCATTGGTAAAAAAGTCAAAGCGATACTCAGAGATCATCCAAAAGCATAACATTGATAAGAAGTAATTCTATATTATAATAAACAAATATTAAATTTTATAACTGTTAAATAAGCAAAACTGTTTCTTAATAGATAATTTTCAAGAGTCTGTTTAAAAATTAACCAACCTTTTGTGTCTAATAGTTTTATCTACTGATATCACTTTTAAGCGATCCTCACATATAATGTAGATTATACATGAATGCATGTAAAATATATGTATTAAATTATTAATGACAGATTGGAATTCTACCTAAACAGGTTATCACTTCTAAGCTCTAGTATATCTATAAAAGATACAGAAATAAAATCATTGTGAGATAGAACATTTTATTTTATTTTTAAATATTTTATTGATTTTTTATAGAGAGGAAGGGAGAGGGACAGAGAGCCAGAAACATCGATGAGAGAGAAACATCAATCAGCTGCCTCCTGCACACCCCCCCACGGAGATGTGCCCACAACTAAGGTACATGCCCTTGACTGGAATCGAACCTGAGACTCTTCAGTTCGGAGGCCGACGCTCTATCCACTGAGCAAAACCAGCTAGGGCATTTTTCCATTGATTTTTAGATAGGGTGGAAGAGAGAGGGAAAGACAGAGAGAAACATTGATGTGAGAGAGACACATCAATTGGTTGCCTCCTGCATGAGACCTGACCAGGGCCTGGGCCAGGGAGGAGCCTGCAACCAAGGTATGTGCCCCTGACCGGAATCAAACCCAGGACCCTTTGGTCCACAGGCCGACACTCCATCCACTGAGCCAAACCGGCTAGGGCGTGAGATAGAACATTTTAAACCTTTGTTAATAAACACGGAAAGTACAAACTTTCATAATCCTCCAGTAATTTTAAATACAAACAAAGCTTTACCTTTTTTCCCAACTTAGTTTTGTAAGTTTAGGCATTATATCCAATATGAGGATCAATCTACACCTATATCTTTGGTTGAATAATCAGCACATTCTAAAGTTTTTTGTTCAGTCTTTAGACTTTTAATTGATATTTATTCCAAACTAAATGTTTATTCTAAGAAGGAAAACCTAACTTTAGATATTCTTACTCTAATTAAAAAATAGTAACCATATTGCCATCAGCCACACTATATGTAATATTCCTTACATTTTCATTTTAAGTAGGCTTAAACATGAACTAAGAAAGGAAAACAATTTTTGACATGTCGCTGTTTCTTGGATTGCATTTAATAGAGTTAACTGCCACTAGGTGGCACCAAATACAATAGATACAAATATGAAAAACATACTTTTCATGCATTTCCTTTATGTGTTCTTCTTTTGCTAGGAGTTCAAATTTCAGAGACTTCATGCTTGATGATTGCTTAGTGAGTTCATTAGTTGCATTCTAGATTTAAAATACAAATAAATTTAAATACTCCTTTCAATCTTGTTCTAAAGCAGCATAAAAAAATGCCATTCTCATGAAGAGCAATTTTCAATTATAGTTATAAATTAAAATGAACATTTAAATATTTAAAATGCTTTATTTTATAATAAAAATACTATAGTATACTAAAGTTTTTAGGCGATATGCCTAAACCATAGAGGTACACATCATGAAACAACTGCAAAGAGTACACTCCCAAAATACATTTATGGGAGATATGGATTGTCTTTGTAAAATGTAAATGTGTGATTAAGTATTGTAATGGTTTAATGAGGTAACTTAAAACTAATGCTGGATTTTACTAGTAACTTGTAACAGCCTCAATATGGTCACAAATGCTTCGCTGCTCTTCCCATTGAGAGGTGGAATCTATCTCCCAACCCTTTGCATCTCGGCTGGCCTATGATTTGCTTTGACCAAAGAATGTGGCAGAAATAAAACTGTAGAAATATCATTCCTGGGCCTAAATCCTTGTAGCATGTGCCTATGCCCTCTTGGAATGCTGCCCTGGAATCACCTTCCAAAAAATAGGGAGGAAAGGCCATTTAAAAAATTTGATTAAATTTTATTATTATTTTTAAAATTAAATTTATTGAGATGACATTGGTCAACATGAACATATATGTTTCGGGTGTGGGTTTCTATGTTACAAGGTCTATATATTGTACCATGTGCCCATCACCCAAAGTTAAATCTTCTGTCACCATATATTAGAACCCATTTCTTCCCCTACCCTCTTCTCTCTGGTAACCACTACACTGCTGTTTTATGTTCACAAGTTTCAGTTTTATATCCCACACTAGAGGCCTGGTGCATGAAATTCGTGCATAGGGGGCAGGGGTGTGTGTCCCTTAGCCCAGCCTGCACCCTCTCCAATCTGGGATCCCTCTCAGAATCCAGGACTGCTGGCTCCCAACTGCTCGTCTGCCTGCCTGCCTGATTGTCCCTAACAGCTGCTGCCTGCCTGCCTGATCACCCCCTAACCACTCCCTTACCAGCCTGGTCACCCCTAACTGCCCTCCCCTGCCAGCCTGGTCACTCCTAACTGTCTTTCCCTTCTGGCCTGGTCACCCCTAACTGTCCTCCCCTGCCAGCCTGGTCGCCCCCAACTGCCCTCCCTTGCTGGCCATCTTGTGGTGGCCATCTTTGACCACATGGGGGCAGCCATATTGTATTTTGGAGTGATGGTCAATTTGCATATTACCTCTTTATTAGATAGGATGAGTGAAATCATATAGGAAAGGCCATTTGGAGGAGTACTGAGTTACCCCAGCTTATAGCGAACTGACCAATTGTCAGGCCCATAAGTGAGGAACTCCCAAGCCTGGTAAATCCTTATTTAGAAAGAATGTGGGCATATTAGGGAACCCAGAATATTATAAGGAATAATAAATTGCTGTTGTTTTAAGCTTTGACATGTTAGGATTATTTTTTAGATAGTAATAGATAATTGATAAAGAATCTTATGAATACTAAATACTTCTTTACCTGAACATATTAATAATATGACTTATTATTAATGTATCTGTACTAATAAAAGCCTAGGTGGTCCTTGCGCCCTTGCGCAACGTCTTCACAAGATGGCCACCACAGGATGGCTGCGCACACAGGGATCGGGATCGGGCCTAAACCAGCAGTCGGACATCCCCCAAAAGGTCTCAGATTGGAGAGGGTGCAGGCCGGGCTGAGGGACATTCCTCCCCCCCCAAACCCCTGTACAAATTTCATGCACCAGGCCTCTAGTTTATACATAATTATTAGTTTTTCAATGTAGAACAGCTTTGGGGTATTTGTTGTTTGCATAGCCTAGGAGCCAGAGGTAGCAACTAGTGTTAAGACCCCTAACTTTAAATTTTGAGTCAAATTCCAAGTAAGCATGTAATCTGAGGCATCACTTGATATTTTTTTTCCACTTACAAGACAGTGTTGACATACATTAAGTCATTTCCTAAATTCAAAAGTATTAAAATAATATAAATATGAGAGCTTTAAAAATATTTGGAGTAGTAATTTCATTAATCGTTTTAGTAACTATAATCATTTTTTTCTATTGAATTATTATCAGATTTGACTGACTCATGCTAAAAAACATGTAAGTCTGACTAGATGAAACCATTAATCACATAATGTAAATATGAGTCAAATTCATTAGACAGACTTTAACTATCTTACTGGTATACTACATGTAAATAAAAAACTTGAAATAATTTTCCAGCCAACCCCCTGGATAACCAAAAATAATAAATTGCTATTATTTTAATTTTTATATTAAATATATTAATTTTCTTAAAAACCCAAGGCTACCTCAACATGGCAACTGTGCTGAATATTAGAAGTTTTAATTAAATATTTGTGTGATGTAATATAAATGTCCATATTTCACATGTTTACAGTGATGAATAGTGTTTTATTTCTAGCACTGATAGATGTTCCACACTAGTGAATTTACCAGATAATTGAAGCTTTTGCTTTAATTATTAATCTTAAATTCTCTTTGGAATGACTGCTTATTCATGTAGGAATATGTATGTCTATGATTACATTAAACTAAAAGTAATACTTTATTATAGTAATATTATATTATAAATATCATTGTATGAATTATGTCATATTACTATATCTATTATATTATCACTAAATCATTATGTAGTGTTGCCTTTAAAAACTATTACGATGACATAAAGGACTACTTATCCCTACTCTAAATGGTCCCAGGCTGCTGCTCTATAAATTTTGTATTTTTACCTTAATTTATTTATATATCCTTTTTCTCTCTGTCATAATCTCTTGCTTCTGTCAATATTCCTGACTAAAAATAATTATCCAGCCCTTTAATATGCATACCTCTAGATTGCGTCTTCTGAGGTGTTTTTGTCCTGATAAGTTGGACAAATAAACTTATTAGAGCTGCATGAAAAATAAAAGGCAACAGGCAGTAAATGAAGCCTGACAATATCTTCAGTGGAATAAATTAAGTGGATTTTAAGATAGCTTTTTTACTCTATCCTGTTTTTAAACTTAAGGCTGCTATTTTAGGTGGCTCACTTGCTGTACCTCTGACTTCTGGAAAATTGAGGGATTACTGAATTATAACAAATGAAAGAATTCCAGCTTGATATGTACTTTTGCCAAGATCTTTAAATCTCACAGGTACTCTATTTGATCCTCAAAAGTCCTTATTAAGCAGATAGAAAGGTATCCCTGCTTTAAACCTCTGGAGAAGTTAAATAATTTCCTCAGTCGGGTCCTACAAGAAGTTAATGGACAAACAGTGATCAAAACCCAGGTCCTCTGACCCTTTTCCAGTTCCTACTATATTATACTTATCTGCAGCATGACTTAAAATCTGGAGTGAAATACCAGTACATACTTCAAAAATGTCTCAGAGGTGAGAACCCATCCTGGTTATAGCTTTCCTATCTAAGTTTATTAAATATGTATTTTTATATTTTAATAGTGAATGAGTAAGAAAGAGCATGGACTCTGGAGCTAGATAGCTTGAGTTTGAATCTCAGCCTTATCACTTAGTAGCTGTATACCTTGGACAAGTGACTTATTCTCTCTGTCTCAGTTTCTTTTTTTCAATTGTAAAATGTAAATATTAATAAAACTTTTCATATAGGGTTGAAATGAGAATTAAATGAGTTGATATTTGTAAAGGACTTAGACCTAGCCTGGAAATAGATTATATATAATGGAGTAATAGTTGAAAAAAAACTATTCTTCATTATTAACTTACTGGGAAACTGGAAGATAGCATAGCATGTACAAAAAGGAATGTTTTCAATAATTAGGAAGTCAAAGAATCACAGATATAAATTGGAGTACTATTCAATCCAGACTGCATAAAGAACTCCAAAATAAACTAAATATAACTACTATAACCAAAAGGGATTTATAGGTCTCTAAATATTTTATTACCTCGATATGAAGTTGGGTACCTTGGAGAAACATGTCTAATATGGGTAAACCAAAATGCACATGAGCACTCCATTTACTGGATGAACCACATATATCTAAGAAGTACACCTAAGAATTTGCATAGAAAAGCCTAAAATTAATTGGATAAAATAAAAAAAGATATATACAGACCTTTAAGAGATTCAAATCTAGCCAGTTTTTCTTAATTAAGCATAAAAACATCAACTAGAAAATAAGTTATTTCTTGGAAAATTTTGTTAGCAATTTGATACCTATTATGGGCTGAACAAAGTTCATATGTTGAAGTCTTAACCCCTAGTACCTGAGAATGTTACTGTACTTGGATAGGGTCTTTAAAGAGGTAATTAAGGTAAAATGAGGTCATATGGGTGGGCCTTATACCAATATGACTGGTGTCCTTATAAGAGATTAGGACACAGACTGACCACACATACTGAGATACAACCACATGAAGACACAGCAAAAAAAATGGCCATACAAGCAAAGAATAAAGGCCTCAGAAGAAACCAGACCTGTTTATACCTTGATCTTGAACTTCTAGACTGTGAGAAAATAAATTTCTATTACTTAAGCCACCTAGTCTGTGGTATTTTGTTATAGCAGCCATAGCAAACTAATACAATATTAAAACAAAAATTTGTAGTAGCAGAAAGTATTATGTACTTAGAGGAAACTGGTCTTGTAGAATATTTCCAGAATGAAACATGAAACAAGACCAAAGTAAAGTTTTATCCTTTTTGTCCCTATGCAGCCTGATTAGTGTTCTGGGACTCCAGGGTAGTTATGGACAATGTCAATTCCAACTTACATCAAGCATGATCTATTGCTTTAGGCATTCTCATCAGTGTCACCCTTGTGACTCACACATTCCTCCAAAGCAGTGGTTCTCAACCTTCCTAATGCTGCGACCCTTTTAATACAGTTCCTCATGTTGTGGTGACCCCCAACCATAAAATTATTTTTGTTGCTACTTCATAACTGTAATTTTGCTACTGCTATGAATCGTAATGTAAATATCTGATATGCAGGATGTATTTTCATTGTTCGCGACCCACAGGTTGAGAACTGCTGCTCCAAAGTGAGAGAGAAATTTATAGGTGAGTAAAAACTTACACCATGAGAGACTATAATGCAAATAACACAGATTTTCATATGGGCCTATTATTACCAAAACTAGAGGCCTGGTGCATGAAATTCATGCACTCGGGGTGGGGGGTCCCTCAGCATGTCTTGCACCCTCTCACAGTCTGAGAGCCCCATGATAGATCACCCTAAGAGGTAGGCCCTGCCCACTCAGCCAGGGCTCTGTGATGGATCACCCCGGCAGAAGGAGGCCCCACCCACCTTCCGGTAGCCTTGGCTTCCCTCTTTGAGACGATTGTGGAGCCCCCCGATTGATCAATTGCCCCTCTGGCTGGTGGCCTAGGCCTCCCTCTACAGGGCTATCATGGGGCGATGGCCGGGCCCCCGACCAATCGCATCGCACCCACCTTGGCTAGCCTGGTGCCAGTGGGTGTCATAGCATGGTCATCCTGCTGTTCAGCCATTTGGTTGATTTGCATATTATGCTTTTATTATTATAGATTAGGTTATACCAGTGGTCAGCAAACTGCGGCTTGCGAGCCACATGCAGCTCTTTGGCCCCTTGAGTGTGGCTCTTCCACAAAATACCAGGTGTGGGCGCACACGTACAGTGCGATTGAAACTTCGTATCCCATGTGCAGAAGTCGGTATTTTGTGGAAAAACCACACTCAAGGGGCCAAAGAGCCGCATGTGGCTCACGATCCGCAGTTTGCTGAGCCGCAGTTTGACGACCACTGGGTTAGACCATTAGTAGGAAGTAAAATTAAATAAATAAAATATAAATAAACTGAAACCTATTAACAATTTAAAATTTTTTAGAAATCAGATTAGACATTACTAGATTTAACATTCTATTTTATTTTGGTGAAAACTGAAGTTATGTAAGGAAAACGCAGACTTACATATAAAAAGAATCACAAAACTATAAATTAAAGATCTGTAATAGATAAGATAAAAAAAATTTTCACCCTCGCTGATTTGGCTCAGTGGATAGAGCATCGTACTGCAGACCAAATGGTCCTGGGTTTGATTCCGGTCAAGGGCATGTACCTGGGTTGCAGGCTCCTCCCCAGCCTGGACCCTGTTGGGGCTTGTGCAGGAGGCAACCAATCGATGTGCTTCTCTCACATCGATGTTTCTCTCTGTCGTTCCCTCTCTCTTCTACTCTCCCTAAAAATCAATGGAAAAATATCCTGAAAATAAAATAAAATAAAATAAAATAAAATATTTCAATGATTTTATCCTCTATATAGAAACCTAAACACTGGAATGCTCTATATATTTTATTCCACTTTTTCAGACACAGAAACACATTTTAAGAAAAGATACATGCACCAAAGCCTAAAACTATTTTTCTCACATTTCTATTATGTCAGGTATTTAAACTTATAAAATGTAGTGGTTGAGGCAATTTCTGTACATAAACACTGTCTAAAGAATATGGTATTTAAAAGCATCTAAATAAATTCCAGTGTGTATATCTGATTATTTAAAAGGAAAATATTTTCAAGCAATGATACATTCATTTACTTTAAACTCAATCATATTTTATCTTATTAGTAATTGCTCATTTGAAGATATTATTGGCAAGTGCACACATATTTTAATTAAAAACAACTGAGATATTTGACAATTCAGTATTTTAATACTCTCTTAACAGTCACAGTTATTCTACTCCTAACAGACTCTGCATTTCCAACCAGAATTTTCTTTCCATTGTTTCTCAGTATAGTAATGGTACCATATACATTGTCCATTAGTTTCCAGCTAGAAATCCCCACTGAAGAATATACGTGAGGAATAAATGAGTTTTTTTAAACAGCAAGATAATTCTATTTAAATTAAGGTTAGCCTTATTTTTAAGTTGTTGACAGTTTCACCTGGACTTAACTACTATTTTTTATAAACAAAAGAAACACTACTTTTTATTCTTACTCTCATGTTTAACTTATTGAAATCTATTAAACCCACCCACCTTTGCTCTATACTTCTCCCTCCCCTCACTTGCCTCCAGCTCCCTCATCTGCAACCAACAACAACCAAATTAAAATAATAGCGAGTGTGTAAAGGGAAGCATTCTACTTATGTTGATAATTACATATTTGAAAGGAATTATGTTCAGTAGAGGGAGGAATGGGGGGCAGAGAGTTGAGCAATGGAATAGAATGATAATGTTCAGTTTTCATCATCTCTCAAGTTAGGATGATATCATGGTGTGTGGTCATTTTTTTCAGAGAATAGTATTATGAATTACTAGATGAGAATGTACCTGGCTAAACTAGGAAGATGAGGTCAAACAGTTTTAATAATTTTTTGATTATTTATAACATAATTTACCATTGTTACTGGAATTAAATTAGAATAAAAGTGTCTTTAAGAGTCAGTAAATGAGTGTTTCATCTTTAATAAAAATTATAGTCACCTTTAGTTTGCACTGTAATTGCTTCATTTCCAAATCCATGCTCCTTGAAGGACCAACTGATGTAACTTGTATCCGTGGAATTGTTACCTGGGAAACTTCTCCCAAACTTGTGATTTCAGATGAGGACTCCAATTTCTTTAATAAGTCTTCTTTTTCTTTCCGAAGATCAGCCAAATCCAAATTTAGCTTCTTTTTTTAAAAAAAAGAAAATAAAAGTAAATGTATTATAAAAGTAATTACATTTGATATAACACTTATCAGCATAAAATTCTATAAGCAGAAAAATGCTAAGGAAAAGAAATAAAATTAATTATAAAATAGCTATTATAAAAATTATAACCTCTATGAGTTTTTTTCTTAAGGTTGTAGGGCTTGTAAAGGTTAAAACAAAAATGGACCAGCTGTACTCAATAGCTTTTGGCTGGCTGGTCTTCACTCATGATGTGCTATTTCTATGCCTTCACATATACATGGGTGAGCCAGAGATTCACATATGTGATAACCTTGACTTCAGGGCTGATGTACTTAACTGGTAAAAGCCAAGCTGGAGCAGGACGAGATAACAGATGTTAGTTGTTTATTCCATTGGGTAGGTCTTACCATTCTATATAGCAGCCAAAATGCTTCTCATTTAGCAACATAAATGTTAAGTCCAATTAGCAGAAGAGGCTTATTAGAGATTTAGATCAAATAAATAGCATATAAACAAATTTGCTCACTCTTATGAACTTGATTGATAGTTGACAAGTCCTTTTTGTAATGTTGAGGTAGACTGCACTAAACTCCTTACATCTGAATTTTTAATTACATAAACATTTTACTAAATGACATACTGGCAATGTTTTTATGAAACCGTGTAGAAGAAACTGTCTTAATGTTATCCCTGCTCACACCAATCTGTAGTCAGCAGAATGCCACCAAGCTGTAAAGGCATAGCAACCCAGAGCTCCTGAAGAGGATAACTGCACTACTATTTTATTATTCCAAAGAAGCTTGTAATATGGTGGTTTAGCATAAGGAACAATTAGACAAAATGGTACTGAAACCTCTCAGAGGGGGGAAATCTGTCTTTGTTAAGAATTCTAATTAGAAACAGCAAAAGATGTAGCTAACGTGCAGAGTAATATAAGACTTAATAACAAGTATTAACACTATATTTAAAAACAACTTCTAGAAACTATACAAATAAAGCTATAATTGCATATTTACCTATGTATGCATGTGTATACTGTTAAATATGAGTATATCAGATGATTGATTTAAAACTAGGGCTTGATATATTTGATATTATACTAGGTTTTCATGAAAAAAGTATGCTTGCTAAAAAAACAATTTCTTTGGTTATATTTTAACTTATGATCTAAAAGTATGATTCTATGGAATCTCAGGAAAGATTCATTCATGAGTTTTCCCAAAGGTACCTAATAATTAATATCTTAAAGCAAACTCATAATTTCCCTAAAACTGAAAATCTTACTGGTTACCATCCAAGCTTGTATCTATCTCCCGCCCTATTTATTGATTTTCTATGTCCAATCAATTGTCAGGTTCTACAAGTTATGTAATGTTTCTCATATTCATTCCCTGCTGCCACTTTTTTTAAATTTTTTAAAAATATATTTTTATTTATTTTTTACAGAGAGGAAGGGAGAGAGATAGAGTCAGAAACATCGATGAGAGAGAAACATTGACCAGCTGCCTCCTGCACACCTCCCACTGGGGATGTGCCCGCAACCAAGGTACATGCCCTTGACCAGAATCGAACCTGGGACCTTTCAGTCCGCAAGCCAACGCTCTATCCACTGAGCCAAACCGGTCTTGGCCCTGTTGCCACTTTTTAATGAAGACTCTCCACTGGGAGTACTGTAATAACACTCCTCCCTGCAACTTATTTCCTAAAACATCACTGACCTGTATTCCTTTATTCAAAAACCCTTCAAGGTTCTGCACCTATGTAGAATAAAGCTGGGATGTTTGTGGTTATACTAGGCTCTCTAAGATTTACCTTCAGTTCATGTTTCAGTCAGACAGCACCTGCAGTCAAACTTGCCTGCCATTCCCCAAACATGTCTGCCATTTCTCCATCAAGGACTCTACACATGCAGTTTCCTTCTGCTGAATTCACTCTCATGCTTAAAGAGCAACTTATTATTTCCTCCTTTATGAAAATCCCGTATACTTTATTCTTTTTCCTCAACAAAGCAGCTCCCCCATTTTCTTAGCTCCCATAGCAATGTGCCTGTTTCTCAACCTGGAGCCCCAGTAAATCTATGCGAGAGGACTGTGACTTTGTTCACCTGTGTATTCCCTATAGTATCTACAAACCATGCTTTCTATATAGTAAGAACCAAAAGAATGGTTTCAAAAATTTAAGTCTTCCTATTTGCAACACAGATGGTGCTGAAAAGACAAAAATTAATTTCAGTGGGTATTTATAATTCATTAATTTATCACTATATAAATTAAAATACACTTTTATTAGCCATGACATATCATTAGCTTTTACTTAAGTAGCGTGCATTGGAACACATCAATCCTGGAAGTAAATGCTCTGCATCTAAACTGGACTTTTGAGATTTTAATTTGGTGAGACATAATTCATGGCTACAATTCTAGGTGGCTCTCAGGCAACTCAGGAAACTAAACTTTGATGAGGCTCTTTACTTCCTATGAACAGTCCCGGCAGCTTCTTTCATTTGTCAAATGTGTATGCCATTTGATTTCTGTCTATTCCTTCCACAGAGGCAGATCCAGACACTGTAAATATATCCTTCATTGAGGAGAAACCAAGCCAATAAATGTTTTCTCTAAAAGACACATATATGTAGATTTTAATTTTAATTTAACAATATAAAAATTAAGAAATACTGAAATTTGGAGACAATAAACCCAATAACTTGGAATATATTAAAATGTAAATCATGTTTTGCTTAAACAATATTTAAAATCTGCACCATTTAAAATATATTTCTAATATTAGTTATTTATGCCTTGAAATAAGAGGTCTTGTCAAAATAGAGAAAACAGGCCATCAATCTGGAACCTTTTGATTATCCCTTAGAATTTTGGACAGATAATTATGGCTCTGTTACTTCTCTTAGTCTAAGCATTCTATTTCTTATTTGAGAAACACTATAGATGAGACAAGAAGTACAAATAAAACCTTCTTTGCTTACCAATACTCTTGGTTTGGCATGTGAGACTACTTCTGTGGCAATTCTGTTAGAAAGATATTTGCTGTAAAATCTACCAATAAATTGAGATTACTAGTAGTCATTTTAAAAATCAGGAGCATGTTTCTTATATCTACATTATTGCATTTCTATCTACCATCAAAGATTTAAAAATAAATATTTGTCATATTATATTAAAACCATAAATGATAAGAAAACACAAGGAAGACTCATCATCTCTGAGGTCTACTCTGGGGTCTACTGCTTACCAGCTGAGTGATGTGGGCAAGCGGGCATTTCACTTTCTGTCCTCATGGAAAACAGAGTTGCTGCTGCTTACCTAGCAAAGGTAATTTTGAGGGCAGAGTTTTCTTAAATATCAATGATAGCACTGGGTAAATTTTAAGCACACAGCATTATTGTTAGCATTATTATCTTGTGCTAAATGCAACCATGTAGTATGAGGAATGTTTTAAAGGCCAAGGACCTGGATTAACAAAAAGCTTTCTTACATATGTACTAGTAGCCCTAAGCACGAATCCAGGAGCCAGTAGCTCTCTGCCCACTGCCCTGAGCTCCTGTAGCCCTGCCCACTGCCCCGCCCTCCTGTAGCTCCCCCCACCTTCCCCTCATACCTTGTTGCCCTGCCTTCTCCTAAAGCTCTCTGCCTCCCGCTTGCTTGCTGCCCTGCCCCATCATGTACCTCTCTGCTGCCTGCTTGTAGCCAGTTGGTCGCTGCCGCCCTCCTGTAGCTCCCCCAGCCCCCCTCCCTGCTCCTGCCCTCATAGCTTGCTGCCTTGCCCACTTGTGTAGCTCTCCACAGCCTGCTTGTACCTCGCTGGCCCATCCTCCTGCGGATCCGTGATCTGGTCACAACACACTTGGTCTTTATGCCTTAGAGCATAATGGCTAATTAGCATATTCCTCTCTTATTATATAGGATGATAATCCTATCATTTCTCATGGCAGAAATCTTACTTTGTCTTAAGTTACGAGTTATTTGTTTGATCTTTATTTAAGATCACTACTGGACGACAAGTTTATTGAAGGCAAATGTGTGTTACTCTATATCTCTACAGTACAATCCCTCCATAATCTTTTAAGTCTATTCCAATTTAAAAGTTGACTTCAATAAGTCCTGAGATTTGTATTGATTTACATGTATTCAATATTCTAACCAAAGGTTATAAAATAGAGCTTAACACTATAAAAGTTTAAAACTAGACATTAGTTATTATTTATTTAAATATAACATTGAAGAAGCATTAATCTCTGAACAGGAAAGAACTCTCTAAGCAACTGTAAGAAACAAGTACATGTTGGAGAATCCATTCTTCAGTAATGGGCAAAGCAAAAGATTCCTTCTGTAATAGGGCAAAGATGGTTGACAGAATTCTCTGATGATCCCCAATAATCTATGCTCTTGTACAATTTTCTCCCCTCGTATGTGGGTGGGACCCATGGATATGATGGGCTATCGCTCCAATGATTACATTATTTGAATTATGTCATATAAAAAAGAATTCTGTAGATGTAAATTATGGCCCTTAATATGACTTTAATTTCCTCAAAAGCAAGATTATCCTGGCTGGTCCTAACCTAATCAGGTGAGCCCTGTAAAAGAAGGCCAGGGGCCCTCCCCAGTCAGAGAGATTCTCCTATTGATTTTGAAGAAGTAACTTGGCAATGTTGTAGGGGACTATAAGTCAAGGATCTAAGGGAGGCCTGGAGAGCTAATAATGATCCTTGACCAGCAGCAATCAAGAAAACAGGGACCATCCTGGCCGGGTGGCTTAGTTGGTTGAAGCATGGTCCCGTGCACCAAAAGGTGAGGATTTAAAAAAAATAAATTGGGACCTCAGTCTTGCAATCACAGGAACTGAATTTTTCCAACAAACACTTGAGCTTGGAAGAAAAGCCTGAGCTCCAGGAAGGAAAGCAGTCTGGCTGACACTCTGATTGCATCCTTGCAATACTCTAAGCAAGGGACCCACTAAGCTGTGCCAGGTTCCTGAC